GAGGGGGGGGGACCCGCGACGGGAGAGCCAGGCCGCGAGGGGAGGAGTCTGGGCGGCGTTGATTCGGATTCGGCGGCAGCGCCCGGCCCGCAGCAACTCTGGGTCCTGGAGTCCTCCTGCTTGCAGGGCCGTCTCTCTTCTTTCTTTGCCGGCGGGAGCTTGGCAGAAGGCGCCCTGCTTTTCTCTCCGGCGGCGGCACAGCCTTTCCACGCCGGTCTCAGGTGGGTGGCGTGTGGTACCCTCGGCCAGCTTCGGAAAGGGTGGGTGCGGGGTGAGTGGGTGGGTGGATCGAGCACCCGACTGGCCACGGAGGACTTCCTCGAGTCCCGCGATCGCCTCTTTCCTCGCTGTCACTTTGACAGGCGGTAGCGCCACCCTTGGATGGCACCGACCCACGGGCGGCGGGGGTGTGTGGGAAATGCCAGTCTGATGCCCTCCCTCTCTTCGTACGTTCTTCCTTTCCTCGATCTGGGTCTTTTGGGGTCTCTTTCCTTCCTGGCTCCTTCGACGGGGTAGGCAAAACTTATCGTCTATCTAGACTTGAGTCCTCCTGGTCCCTCTTTGGGATGGAAGCGCGCCGCTGCACGCGCATCGGGGTGCGTGTCTGTGGGCGCATCTGAATGTGGCCGCGCGCGTGTCGTCCTGAGGCTTAAAAGCGCAGGAGCGCGCGAGGGAGACGTCACCGGACTGGGTGAACAGCCGGCTGTATCCCCTTTCTGAGTCTGCGTTTAAAAAAAAAAAAAACAACTTTTGAAGTTAATAAATTCTTATTCCGGAGAACGGTTTTATTTTTTTGTTTTACTTATTTAGTTTCCATTCCTATTCTAAGTCACTGTCAAAGCTCTTCGTCGAAGATGTTTTATTAGTCTGTCTGTCGCTGCAAGTCCCTTGCGCGCGGCCCGATCCCCTGTGTACATTTGCTCGGAAGTCAATCGCGCGGTGTTTCATGCCTCTTACTCGCTAGTAATGGGGGAGTTTGGAACTGCAGCGCGACAATGCGGCACTCACTCAGCGCGGTCGGAAGGAAGGCAGAGGGACTTTCCGAAGGCCGCGTACATATGTATACGTATAGATGTCATCGGGCGCTCTACGTATGTGTAAAGTACACAAAGCAGATCTAAGTGTAAAAAAAAGAAATAAAAACGCGCCCGCCGGAGGCGGGAAGCGCGGCAAAGATCAGGGGGCGGAGCGCTTGTGCAATTCCGAGCTTCCACTGTACATAATGAATGTAGCGGTTTATTTATAGCGTGACGAAGGAGGAGTTTGCGTGATCATTTTTGGAGTAGGTATTTTTGTACATTTCTCAGGAACAGACCATTCTGATCAATTCCCTGAGGGTTTGCTGTTTTGGTGTCTCTCCTGAACCCGTCGAGAATTTCTATTCTGTTTGGTAACATTCTCACCATTTGCCGACATACATTTGACACCTTAAAATACAATGGAAAAACTTCAGACAGAGCAGCAGGCTGTTTTCGGATATCCCTTTTTCCCCCTTATTTATTGAAATTTCAAAGACCCTGAGACTGTGTGGTCCTCTTTCTACTTTAATATTCACAGTCTTTTAAAATAGGTGAAATTTAGACCCCATGGTCACTCAGTGTTCTTTCTTTCCTTCTTTCTTTCTTTCTTTCTTTCCTCTTTCCTTCCTTCCTTCCTTCCTTCCTTCCTTCCTTCCTTCCTTCCTTCCTATATATATAATGTATTGTATATAATACAATACATATGTATTGTATATAATACAATAAAAAGTCAAAACAATTAAAATGCAATTAAAATATAAACTCTAAAAATTGCCACCAGACCTCCAGCTGATATTATTTCAATTAAAAGCCTTCTGGAACAGGAAGGTTTTGACCTGGCACCGAAATGTCATCAGCGTCAGCACCAGATGAATCTGTCGGGAGGGCATTCCATAGTCTGGGGGCAGCTGCCGAAAAGGCCCTTTGTCTACAAGCCATCCCTCTTACCTCCTTAAGGGATGGCTCTTTCAAAAGAGCCCCCTGGTTAGATCTTAACTGCCGGGTAGGTTCATATGGAAGGAGGTGGTCCTTCAAGTATCCAGGGCCCAAGCCATTTAGGGCTTTATATGTCAAAACAAGCACTTTGAATTGGGCCCGGGCAGCAACTGGTAGCCAATGCAACTTATACAGAATCGGCTTGATATGTTCTCTAGCGGCACCTTTGAGTGAGGATTTGAACCTGGGTCTCTCTAGTTCTGGATTTACTCCAGTGCCTTAATATTGTTGGCAGAAACAGTGAACTTGGTCCTGCTACAAACTTGCACATTTCTGCAAGTTTCTTTATCCAGTACAGTAGTATGAATTGTAGATCCAGGAGGCTTCCAGATAGAGAGCCACAGCATTCTCAGTCAAAAAGACAAGGTGTGATTATTCTGTCTTTCCATCTTTAATGATTTCCTTTTGAGCAAAAGGTGGTGGTGGGGGAAATGAGAGGACCACAAATGGAAAATACTAAGGCCTGGACTTTCCTAAAATCCCATGCTTGTGCCAGTATAGAGCGTATTGAAATGAAAACAGTCCACTGTTTCATTCAATAAGAAGTGACACAAAACTTTTCAGAAGAGAATTTTTGGAGAATTCTTCCGTCTAGGTTACAAAGCCCCTCATACCACCCAGACTGCTGACTAGGGGTTTGTGGTTCAGTCCATCAAGAGGGTGTTAAAGATCCCCCAAAACTGATATTAACCAGTGTTCTTCTTTTCCTGTGACAGTGAAAGAACTGGAGGGAGGAACTGATCTATCAGCAGATGCAGGTTGGAACTTGATTTAGGTTTAAAACCATACTCAGCTACTGAAGTAGCTCAGCTGCAGTATTGCGTACATTTCTGGTTGCTGCACCTCGGAAAAGAGTGGAACTGGAAAAGGTGCAGAAGAGAACGACTAAAATAATGACTGGGCTGGGGCTCTTTAGTCTAGATAAAAGGCACCTGAGGGGAGACATGATTGAGATGTATAAAATTATGCAGAGGATAGATAAAGTGAATAAGCTCTTTTCCCTTCTCACACAATACTAGAACCAGGGGACACCCACTCGAATTGAGTGTTAGGAGAATGAGAACAGACAAAAGAAAAGATTTCTTTACCCAGCATGTTGTTAGTCTGTGGAACCCCTTGCCACAGGATGTGGTGATGGCATCTGGCCTAGATGCCTTGAAAAGAGGATTGAACAGATTCCCGGAGGAAAAGTCCATCGCAGGTTAAAAGGAAGGTACCTTCAAATCCCAGATGCAGGGGAGGGGTATCAGGAGACAGGTAGCTAGTTGTCTCGTGTGATCCCAGCGGCCCAATGTGAGATGCAGGAAGCTGGACTAGATGGGCCCTTGGCCTGATCCAACAGGGCTCTCCTTGTGTTCTTATGTGGATGGCCTTGAACCAGTTTATTATCTCTCTCAGCCTAACTCATTTGGGAGAAGAGCAATGCATGGTTTCTCTTTCTTTCGTTCCATGGAAGAAAGACAGGATTAAAAATGCAATCATTCAGTTCATAAACAGATATTGAAATCTTTAAGAGGCTTAGGCATGGCATAGTAGCGGTAGCTTCAGCTGAATCTGATCTGCACTTGACTCTTGCAGAAATAAAGACTTATGAAAATGCCTCCCATCTTGATTCATGGCTCTCCTTTGCTTCTAGAGCAAGGATGTGGGAAATGTAGTGTAGCACATGAAGGACATGAATCTCACAGCCTCTTGCAAGAAAACAAGGAGGGGTTGGAACCCTCTTTTCTACTTGCAGTGAGATTTGCTTCCCACCCCAAGGAAATTTGTTGAGAAATCTCACAAGATTTCCTGAGAATTCTGTTGTCGTATTTTCTGGAAAAGGCACCATGCTGTGCAGGATTATGACAATTCCTGTGCAGAATGGCTTCTTTCCTGTGCAGGATTCCCTTCAGGAAAAGGCAGAAGAAGCTTGAAGCTGTGGAAGGTAATTACAATTCCTGTGAAGGATGGCATCTTACCTGTGCAGGGTTGACTAAAAGGGTATTAGTGTGCAAAAACGAGGCTGGGGCTTATTTTCACAGAAAGTCAGGAAATGTCACTAGTGCAAGGGAAGTTTCAGCCGGAAGTGTGTCAGCATGGAAAGACTCAGAGAATGATAATTTTTTAGAAGTACAGTATCTGTCATATTTCTACTCCAGATAAAGCTTGCATGATCCCTCTCCAGTGAACATACTGGCTTGGGATGGTGGATCTCTTTATTCAGAAGTATTTCCTCCAGTCTATTATAATAATTGTATGCCATCAAGAAAATTCTGATGTATAACTCTTTCCAGGGTTTTCCTGACAGAGAGTCCTCAAAGGTGGTTTCGCATTCCTTTCTTCTGGGGGGCCTCTCCAGATAAAGCTTGCATGATCCCTCTCCAGTGAACATACTGGCTTGGGATGGTGGATCTCTTTATTCAGAAGTATTTCCTCCAGTCTATTATAATAATTGTATGCCATCAAGAAAATTCTGATGTATAACTCTTTCCAGGGTTTTCCTGACAGAGAGTCCTCAAAGGTGGTTTCGCATTCCTTTCTTCTGGGGGGCCTCCTAGGACTGTACAGCTTGCCCAAGGCCACACAGGCTGGCTCTACTTACGGGAAGAACAGGGGGTAATCGAACTCCCAACCTTTATTTATTTATTTATTTGGCTTTTATACCACCCATCTAAATGAATCTACTCTGGGTGGTTTATATTTGCAATCTCCTTGCCCATTTCAGCTCAACCTCCAGTAATAATCTGCTCATTCAGCTTTCCAGTAGGGAAGAAATCAAGTAATGTCAGGAGGAGAGGCCTGCCTGAAGAGCCAGGTCTTCAGTTTATTCTTAAATTGAACCTTTGGTTCTGCAGCCAGATACTCTAGCCACTGACCTGTCCAGCCAGCAGATGAAGATAGGTTTTATTGTTCCTCCAGAAAACGCTCTCTTGCTTGTTATGACATTAATATATATATTTGCAATCTCCTTGCCCATTTCAGCTCAACCTCCAGTAATAATCTGCTCATTCAGCTTTCCAGTATCAGAAAGTGTACATATTCAGAAAAAGCAATAAGGGCCTCTACTAAGTGGCAGTGAGAAAATAGTATCGGGTTTGCTATTCAAAAGGAGTCAGCATTATTCAAAGAAATTCTTGAAAGCAATCTTTCAGATTTTTGTCAGCCTTCCAAGTGTTTTCCAACATTTTGTCACATTGAGAGAGAAAATCAAAAGAGAAAATCTC